AGGACGCTGTGCCTAGCAGTATTCATGCATGGGCCTCAGCAAGACCCTTATCTGGCTGCTCAGGCCAGAGCCCTCAGATCATATCTCTGGAAGCCTCCATTGTAAGAAAGTTTGCAGAGCATTATCATATCTACACAGAGGGAGAGGGGTGTCCTTGACCAGCCCAAAAAAACCTCTTCCTCTTGCCAGACTTCAAAGATTCATCCCCTCTCCCTGTCCTGTATACTCCCTATATAAACCCTAGCTCGACCCCTGATGGGGGCTGCTTGATTTGGATGTGAATACCCCTGGCAGCCGAGCTAATAAAGTCCACAATTTAAAATTAGCCTGGGTGGTCAACTCGCTAATTTCTCGGTATAACATCTTCCCAGCTGTTGAACTTCTGTTTTCAGTTCCTTTTATGGGACTGTTGTCTGTGCCCCTCTTGTCTAAGTGTGACAAGTATGATCTAGGCCTCTTTTCTTCTCTTCTTATAACTAAACTCTCCTTTTTGCTAATCCTTTCAGCTCCCCTGGGTACAACCATCATCTCTATGTAAATGACTATAAAATCTACTCATCTAGTCCTCATCTCTTTTCCAAAATCTAACCTTGCTTCTAATTATTGCTTGCTAGATATCTCTACATTGATGACCCTTAAGTATATCCAAAGTGGAATGTAACATCTTTCCCTTGTAGTCTTCCCATGCTAACTTTTTCATAATATTTCTTTGAAGAGCATTGCCATTCTTCTAATCCAGTTCTTAAACTGAGTCATCTTTAACTCTGTTCTCTCCCTCACCTTCCATATCCAATCGATTTCCAAAGCTTGTCAATTCTGCCTCCTATGACATCTGTTGCATCAATCCTCTTCTTTCCACTCATGGCTACTACCCCTTATTCAGGCCTTGTATCACTTCTAGTTTGAACCATAGCAATAGCTCCCTAATTGGCCTTTCTATTTCCAATCTCTCCCAAATCCAATTCATCCTCCACACAACCGCAAAATTTATGTTCCTAATGATTCAGTTGTTTTAGTAGTGTTGGACTCTGTGACTTGAAAAGATACTGGAATGATTTGCCATTTCCTTCTCTAGTTCACTTTACAGATGAGGAAACTGAGGCAAAGAGGGTTAAGTGACTTGCCCAGGTTCATATAGCTAGTAAGTATCCAAGGCCAGATTTGAATTCAGGTCTTCCTGACCCCAGACCAAACACTCTATCCACTACCCTCTATTCCTAATTATAGGTGTGATCAAATTACTCCCTGACTGATACTTTTCAGTGTCTTCTTATTGTTTAACAGAAAAAAATACAATCTCCTGTTTGACACTTGCACTATATCGCATTCTGCCTCCATCTTACCTTTCCAGGCAATCACTCTTTCTTCCACACTGTGGTTCAATAAAATTAGCTTATTTGCAGTTTTTCCTATATGACATTCCAGCTTTTGGCTTTGTGGCTTCATACAGGTTGTACCCAATGGAACATTTACTCCTCTTCCCTTTGCCTCTTGGAATCCCTACCTTCTTTCAAGATTAAACTTAGGTATTATTTCCTACATACTGTCCTTCCTGATCTCCCTAAGGAGAACTAATTCTTAGTGCTCTTTGCCTTCTGAAGTTCCTTTGTATATGCTTTGTAGATGCATTTTGTCTGCTTATTTAGGTATATACTATAGGGTAATTCTCTGTAAAATACAAGCTTCTGGAGGTCAAGAGCCTTAATTTCATTTTTTTTAATGAGGTGAAAAGGACCTTAGAGGTCATCTAGTCCAATCTTCCCATTTTACAGATGAGAAATCTCAGCCCAAGTAGAGTTGTGTGGTTTGCCCAACAGCACACAGTAATAAAAATAGGAGTTTAACTGAGGTTATGTAACTCCACGGTTGACATTCCATGTCCCCCATACCATTTAAAAAAAAAATTATCTGCAGTACCCAACATGGTTTCTTGCATATTATGTTTTGCCTGACTTGTAATTTTGTTGGTATAGGGAACTCCTAGTGAGAAAACTCCCTCTTCCAGTGCAGATCAGAACCTGCTCTACGACTTAGAGTTTTAGGGGATTACTTAGGGCACTGAGAGATAAAATAGTTTGTCCAAAATTCTGTGAGAGTCAAGACTTGAACCCAATTCTCCTTGACACTGAGAGGAGCTCTTTTTCTACTACTCCACAATAACTATTACCTCAGAAAGAATAGATGTCTAATAAATGCTGATGGGTTGAATTGAATTTAATCTTTTCCAAAAGACCATGATTTCTCTAGTGTGCCTCAACCAGGGTGGATTGTAATAACCCCAATTCTTGAAGAAACATTCTTTTTGGATTGCTGTAGCTAGAAAAGCATTTGGTGGCCACCATTATGTGGATGCATCTGGTTTGGTTGGTCTGGTCCTAAGACATGGAATGCATAGCTCATTGCTAGACCACTATTCAAGGAAGACTCTTCCAGCTTGGTAAGACCTGTCAGGACATGTATTTTGCTGCCATAGCCATCTAGATTGCAAGATTACTCCCTCCTACCTTGTGGAAGAGGCAGCTCTGGTGTGGTTGAAAGGATGTTCCATTTCACGTCAAAAGGCATGGGTCTAAATCTCCTCTTTGCCATGTACTAGCTGTGTGACCCTGGGCAACTCACTTGACTTTTCTGAGTCTCTATTTCCTACAAGGATAATGATACCTCACAGCTTGGTTGGGAGGATCAAATGAAAATGTGTGTAAAGTCCTTTGTAAACCAGTTATCTCTGTATAAATTCCAGGTATTATTAATGCAACATTGAAGGACTTTAGTGCAGGAAATGATCAAACATTATACAAACAGATGGGATAACTTGTAATCCCTTGTGTTTATATAGTGATTTCATACCCATTATTTCATATGAACTCTTATAGCAACCCTGTATAGGTAGTGCAAGTATTATCACTCTTATTTTACATACGATTTAGTGCTGGAAAGGGTATTGGCTTTCATTTAGCTTAAGCTCTTAGCCTGGGATCCTTAAACTTTTTAACTATTCTTTTTTTTATAAATGTATTCCATTGTAATTGTTTTCCTTTATAATCCTATGGATTTTATTGTATGCATTTAAAAAAACTTCTCTTTAGCAGAAGTTTACAGGCTTTGGCTAGATGGCCAAAGGGGTCCATAACAAAAAAGGTTAAAACCTCTAATGTAGACCAACCCACTCATTTTCCTAATAAGGAAACTGAGACTTTCTTCAGGAGGAGAACTAACTTGCTCTAAGTCACACAGAGCATACGGCAGGCCTGGGACTTAACAGATGTTGAGTCTTATGTCTTATAACTCATGATGTCTCTTCTCTTTGAAGCAAGGTTTCCATCAAAACTCATCTACTGTGAACTTAACAGCAGGCCAAAAAGGAGAGGGATTTTGTTCATATAATTATGAAATTGCACAGGTTGACACCAAAAATGAAATTCTGGGGAGATGAGACCCAGTTCCTGTGAATCACAATCCTGCAAAGATGCATGGAAACTTTGGGGAGACCAGACCAGCTGCTGCCATCAGGGTTGCCAACCTCAGCTGGAAGGGAAGTTAAATTCAAGTAGAGAAATAGAATAACTAGAGGAGAATTCTCTGTTCAACTGCTCTAATTTTCTTATAGCTATTCCGTAGGATCAGAGACTTAGAGCTCCTAGGAAATTAGAAATCACTTAAGTCTAACCCTGTCATTTTACAGATAAGGAAACTGAGGCACAGGGAGGCTAAATGGATTAATTCATACAGATTGTCAGCAATAAAGTCCAGCTTCAAGCCAAACAATCAGACAGTTAAACATTTGTGAAATGCCATACTATGTGTGAGACTGTGCTAGGTGCCGAGGATACAAAGAAAGACAAAAGACAGTCCCTATTCTTGAGGCACTCACTATCTAATTGGGAGACAACATTCAACTCAAGTATTTTCATTCTAAACCAAACACTCTTCCCAACATCTAAGATACTCATCACACTAAGTTGGGAGAAGTGGATGTGGGACAGGTTGGGCAAGATTTGGCCCTGGTGTGCATCTGTATGAAGTCCAGAGGGCATTTGATCCTTATTAATACAATCTCCTTTTTGCCTGGGGGAGTGATGAAGAGATTAGCCACAGGGTTTCCTTTTCCTAACTGCCTTCTTTCTCTGGTTTTAATACTCATTCTTTAAAGTCCCTTAGCACTTTATAATTTATGTGGCACCATCACATACATTCTCACTTGATCCCATCAGCACTTTGTGGTAATAAGAAGAATGCTAACCCAAATCTACAGTTTTTTCAAGTTTATAAAGCACTTTCTTCAGGTTAACCTTTTGAGGTTGGTACTACAGGTTTCATTCTTCCTATTTCAAATAGGAGGAAATTGAGATTCAGAGAAGTGAAATGATTTGCCTGGAGTCACACAGTTAGTAAGTGTCAGAGCTTACCTTCACAATTTTACAGCCTTTGAGATCTTTCTTCATAATGACCTTCTGAAGTTAGGCACTGAGTGTTTATCATCCTCATTTCACAGGGAGGAAGAACCGTAGCTCACCATGGTATGATAACTCAACCAACATCACCGGCAATTAAGAGAACAGACTGTCTCTGGAATTCTGACTCCCATTCCGGGAGCTGTCTTTCCACCATGCTACATTGCCTTTGGCTAAGGAATTTGGAATCATAGATTTACTTCTGGAAGGCGTGATCATCTCATTCAATCCCCTCATTTTACATATGAGGAAACTGAGGCTCAGAGAAGTTGAACAAAATCCTGTTTCTTTTTAGAAGCAATCTTTAGGAAACACTAAATATTTGGGGCTTTTGTAATTTTTTCTTCCCAACTATGTAACTGGGCAAACCATTTATTCTCCCTGAGCTATAATGTTATAAAATGGATATAAAAACATTCGCTGTACCTATTTCACAGGGCTGTCATTAAGGAAAGTGCTTTGTAAACCTTAAAATGCTTTGGAAATTCAACTAGCTGAATTATTACTTTCTGAAGAATTGCAGAGTAACTGATTTCTATTTTTTTCCAGGCATGCTGCCAATCAGACACCAAGTTTGAGAACACTGCGTTTGGAAGAGGTTAGTATAGTTTTATATAGATATATAGATATGTATCTATATATATATCTATTTTCTTTTTCTTGTAAATATTTAATTTTTTTTCGCATTACAATCACTTCCCAGTGACTCCTCCTCCCCCAACAGAACCTCCTCTTGTAATAGATAAATTCAGTTACACAAATCAGTACACTGGCCCCAGGAAGCTAGGTGGTACAGTTGATAGAGCATTAGGTCTGGAGTTCAAATCCAGCCTCAGACACTTATTAACTGTGTGACCCTGGGAAAGTCACTTAACTTGTTTTCCTGTTTCCTCATCTGTAAAATGGGGATGATGATAGCACCTACCTACTAAGGTTGTTGTGAGAATCAAATGAGGTGATAATTGTAACTCACTTAGCACAGTGCTTGGCACATAGTGGTTGAAAAGAGGAGGAAGGGGGCAGCTAGATGGCTCAGTGAATAGAGCACTGGCCCTGAAGTCACGAGGACTTGAGTTCAAATCCAGCCTCAGACCAAACAGTTGACACTTACTAGCTGTGTGACCCTGGGCAAGTCACTTAACCCCAATTGCCTAAAAAAAAAAGAAAAGGAAGGAAGATAACTCACAAGGGGGCATGCATGATAGCGGAGTTCAGATTTCAGCTGGTGGAGAAATGAATTACATCATGAAATTTATTCTCCCGGTTCTGTTTACTATAATCTGCATCAGCTCCTATATGTTTATTACATCCGCATACTACAAATTGTCCAGTCAATGAACAGGCACTCTCCTTCCAGTTCTCTGAACCTACAAAAGTGCTGTTGTACATATTTTGGTACATATGGAATCTTTCCCACCTTCTTTGACCTTAAAGTAGATATTCTCATAATTGTGTTGCTTCATCAGTAAGGTTTTCAGCAGGATAAACATACATGCTTATGTACAAAATTCAGCACTTGCACTTTCATCATATTGTCAATCTCAGGCAGAACAATCCCACAATCAGACTAGTGGGAGAGGTTTTTCAAAGTGGCAAAATACTCAGTGTCAGACTTGGATTATAAAAGGATCTTTCAAAAAGCCATCTCCTTTCTTGTACGGCTTGCTACTCATTCTCAGCTGAATATGCAATCCAGAAATTGCCATATGGCCGTTTACCATTTATCTAGGTCTTTTTTTTTTTTTACTCAAAGTTCAGTAAAGAACTGGTAACTGTAGGCTAGCTGAAGTTTTTATTTTTTTTTCCATTTCTCTTGGAGATTGTTATCATCAGACAAATATCTACTCCATTCTGGCTGCTGAGGTTGGCAACTAGTTATATTTGTTGTTCTTGTTCAGGTGTTTTAGTCGTGTACAACTCTTTGTGACCCCATTTGGGGTTTTCTTGGCAAAGATACTGAGCATTTTACAGATGGGGAAACTGAGGCAAACAGGGTTAAGTGACTTGCACAGGGTCACACAGCCAGTAAGTGTCTGAGACCAAATTTTACCTCAGGAAGATGAGTCTTCCTGACTTCAGGCCTGACACTCTATCCATAGCAGCACCCAGCTGCCCTATTAGTTATATAGACGGAGGCAAATAATTCTAAGACAATATGGTAGAGTAGCTACATAGCCAGGAGAACTGAGTTACTGATTATGTGACCTAGAACAAGTCTTTATTTTTTATTGCAGAACAAAGCAATAGGACTAGATGATCTCGAATTTCCCTTCTGTCTCTGACATTCTATGTTCTAAGGTTCCCTTCACTGCTAATATTCATGCCTTGCTGGCATTTTATGTTCTAAGGTTTCTTTTAGCTCTATCATTCTATATTCCCATGCCTTTCTCCATTCTGATACCTCATATTCTAAGGGCCTTTCTAACTCTGACATCCTGTGTTCTAATTTTTCACTTTCAACTTCACATTCTATGTTCTAGTATTTCCTTCAATTCTAAGATTCCATATTCAAAGCCTCCTTCTAACTCCGACATTCTGTGTTCTGCTTAAGTGTAGCAGGGGAACCACCAAAAGAACACAATAGAAAAATGAAATAAAAAAAGTCAAGACCAACTTACGGGGGATTTTTTTCGCTCTAAGTGTGGTTTTCGAGATGTGAATGCTGGCATTCTTTCATAGATCAAACCTGTCTCCTGAGCCCAGATACGACCAATCGCCTCAGTGGATATTTCAGTTCTAACACCTCTCCTGCTGCTGACTCTGACCCATCACTTAGGAAAACTCATGCTGGGTTTCCAAATGTGAGTAAGTTCCCAGGGACTATTTTTAGATTTTAAAAGACTTCAAATGCTATTCACTGTACTTCTTTCCATCTCCTGCAGGCAAAACCTAAAATTGGATGATGTTTGAATCAGGCCTTTTACTTAGCTTCAGCAGTGAAATCTTATTTATTTAAGTCATTTAAAAAGTCATGAAAATATAGATATTCTTGAGAAAAAATATTACATTTCTGTCTTTAAAATAAGATTAAATATTGAGCCCCATTTCCTCAAAACTCAAATATTTGATTAATAATTAAAAAAAACCCACTCTTTATACTTCCATGATTTGGGGCAGGGGATGTCAGTAGTGATACATGGGCACTTATTTCAAAGACCTGCATATCAATCTCTCCACTCCTTAGTATGTGACCTTCAAGAGGTACTGTAGCCAAAACATCAGTCACCCTTCAGCTAACCTAGTGAAGTGTCTCTATAAACTTAGTGAGGTGGGTCCTTGGATGACAAATATCCATTCGGAGTTCTGATTAAACCTTTCTACCTTGCTGTCACTGGCCAGAGCCAGTGCTCTGTTGCTATAGTTTTTGAGAGCCTAAGGCCATGTTCATATCACAGTGAGAACATCAGAATGGGACTTTAGTGGAAAAAAAATAAGGGCTCAATTTTAAAATAGGGATAGGAACTGAACTCGCAATTTCATTAATGTAGGGAACTCCCAGGTAAGGAAACTACCACTACACTTGCAGATTGGCACCTTCTCTGCACCTTAGAGTTATCTTGATCATTGGGAGATTAAGTGATTTGTCCAGGGTTGCCCAGCCAGTATGTTATCAGAGGCAGGAATGAAGCACAGGTCTTCCTAACTTGGAAGTCAGCTCTCTCTCCACTATACCATGCTGCCTGTTATATATTTTACAATTTAATTTATGTCAAGTTTGACATACATTGAAAAAGAAGGGTAAAGGATTGTGTGGCTGGCAATTTAATTAGTCATGATGAATCTACTATTGCTTCTCCCTCATTCTATATCCCTCTAGGCTGTTTCCTACTTTTCTCTTTCTTTCTTCTCCCACCCACCAATTCAGCTCTGCCCCATTTCCATCCTTTCTATCAATAGATTTGTGACTTTTCCCACTAAATTAGTTGGCCAGCAGGCTAGTTTCAATGTTTAATTGCCAATTAACCATCCTATCCCTGCAATAAGATGACCTTTTCCCTGACTTTACCTGGTCACAGGTTGACATACAGAGGAAGGAAGATTTCAAAATCCAAACATAGCTCCCATTTGGGAGGAAGAGGATGGCAGTCATTCTTTAATATCTAAGCATGGGGCTTTAAAAAACAAAAGCTTATAAAATCCCCCCTCACTGCAAATTTGTTTTTTTTAAACTAAATGTTATTTTTAAGGAAGAACAGTATTTTAGCTGTCACATTGTGAGAAAGGGAGTAAGACTGGAATTCATTTTGCCCAACATTCTTATTGAACTGATGATAACTAGTGACTCTGTGACTCATTATCTTCAAGGTAAAAGACAATTTCTTTTGTCTGCCATTCAAGGCTCTCCAAAATCTGGCACTGGCCTGCCTTTCCATTCTTACTGCCTTCCACTCCCTCTGTGCTTCAGCCAAATTGGACAGCTCTCTCTTCCTCAAACACAGTGTTTACTCTCCAGCCTCAGTGCCTTTGTTCCCTATGCCTAAAATGGAATCCTCCTCCCTCATTGTCAGTTGAATTTCTATATACTCTTTAAAACCCAAAGTAAATGCCACCTCCATCAAGAAACTTCTCTAATTTCTGAGGTTATCCCCACTCCTGGTATTCTCAATGCACTTACCACATAATAATGCACATAATCATTTGCCGAGTATGTAGCCTAGCCCCCTACTAGACTGATTTCCTTGGGGGCAAGTTTTGTGTCATTTGAATAGGGAGCCTTCATATCTACTGGTTTCTCTCTTATTACTTCTATATGGAAGTTAGAAATAGCCATCTTTTGTTTCATGTGAACAGAGTGACATCAAAGGTACATCTTCATACTCTTTTGTGTACCAAATTTCATCAGAATCAGTTAAGTTCTATAAAAAATATTATGAAACAGTCCAAGGCAAACATCAAAACAGAGGCCTCTTCTCATATTTTTGACCAAGGTCCCTGCATTGTAGCAAGAGCACCAAATAGATCATCAGAAGACCTTAGATTCACATTCCAGCTCAACCATTCAGTATCTGTGCAGAATCAGAGAGATGATGCACAACTAGAAAAGGACAAATGGCCTGATTTACAAAAAAGAAAAAATGAGATGGGAATGGAATCTGGCCAAATTAATGCACAGGTACTGAATGGTTGAGCTATAATTTACTCAAGTTAAGCTATATTTGATAAAATCTCTCATATTATTCTTATGGAGAATATGGACAGATAGGGAATGATGGTAGTATAATTAGATGGATTCAGAACTAGTTGAATGGCATGACCAAAAAAGTAGTTATTGCTACCAACTTGGATGGATATTGTCAGGGGAGTGTCCTAGGGATCTGTGCTGCTCCTGTGTACCTCAACCATTTTTTTAAAAAAATGACCTGGATAAAGACAGATGGTTTACTTCTAGTATTTGCTGATGACACAAAGCTGAGAGAGATAGTCAATACTTGTATTTCAGAATTAGGATCCCAAAATATTTTAGTAAGTTAAAACAGTGGGTTCTCAAATGGTGCTCCAGGGACCCCTGAATAGCAAACAGGTCTCTTGCTTGATTTGAGATGCAGCACTCGGGGATGAAAATAAGCTCATGATGTAATTACACTGAGGGCATTGGGGCATTTGTGATCTCCAAAGAAAGTGAAGTGTTAGATTTTGAAGGACAAGCATCGGTCATATGCATAGTCACATGATTTTAGGAATGAAACAGAAAAAAATTGAATTGGAAACCTCCTTTGTATTGGGACATTCTGATAATGGCTAGACGTTTTCATGTGTGTGAAAGTACCTTTGTTTTGGACTATAAGACATGATTCTCTCCTCTTGATCTTTACTGTTGGGGGGGGGAGAAAACGATCTCCTTTCCATAAATACAGTCAGACAAATCAGTGAAAACCAATCAACTGGGAACATAACTATATAGGAAATCAGTTTAATTAAAGAAATATCTTTTTCGGGGCAGCGAGGTGGCGCAGTGGATAAAGCACCAGCCCTGGAGTCAGGAGGATCTGAGTTCAAACCTCAGACGCATGACACTGACCAGCTGTGTGACCCTAGGCAAGTCAGTTAACCCCAATTGCCTCGCCAAAAAAGATATATATATATATATTTACAAATACATACATATGTGTATGTGTATATATGTATATGTATATATATACACATATATGTGTATGTATATATATGTGTGTGTATATATACATATATATACATGTATATGTGTGTATATACACACACACACACACACACACACACACACACACACACACATCTTTTCCACCAGAATACAATTAGGTAGGACTTTGAAGGTCTGCACAGTATTTTCCTGTAGGACTTTGAAGGTCTGCACAGTATCTTCCTGTAGGACTTTGAAGGTCTGCACAGTATCTTCCTGTAGGACTTTGAAGGTCTGCACAGTATTTTCCTGTAGGACTTTGAAGGTCTGCACAGTATCTTCCTGTAGGACTTTGAAGGTCTGCACAGTATTTTCCTGTAGGACTTTGAAGGTCTGCACAGTATTTCCTGTAGGACTTGAAGGTCTGCACAGTATTTTCCTGTAGGACTTTGAAGGTCTGCACAGTATTTCCTGTAGGACTTTGAAGGTCTGCACAGTATTTTCCTGTAGGACTTTGAAGGTCTGCACAGTATTTTCCTGTAGGACTTTGAAGGTCTGCACAGTATTTTCCTGTAGGACTTTGAAGGTCTGCACAGTATTTTCCTGTAGGACTTTGAAGGTCTGCACAGTATTTTCCTGTAGGACTTGAAGGTCTGCACAGTATTTTCCTGTAGGACTTTGAAGGTCTGCACAGCATTTTCCTGACAACAATTTTGTAAAATAGAGCAAGTGTTATTACTACCAATTTCCTAATTTAAAAAAAAAAAACCTGAGTCTCATAGAACTGATGTTTGTTACCCAGAGTCACGCAGAGATTCCTTTCTTGTCTTCTGATCCCAACACAACAACTCTTTTGGGGTCCATAACTTTATTTTTAAAAACAGTTTGATAACAGTATTTCAGTATAGTTAGCTTCCTTTACATTTTATGCATGTGAAAATATGCTTAAAAAGGCATCTGAAGGCTTTAGCATGCTGCTGAAGAGGCCTATAATATGAAGAAGGCAAAGAATCCCTGCTCTAGTTGAAGACATGATATATTTGTTTATAAAAATAACAAACATTTCTATGGTGCTTTAAGGTATAAAAACAATTTCTCAACAGCAACCCTATGAGGCAGACAGGTCAAGTACTAGCCTGTCTGTCTTATAGATGAGAAAGTTGAGGCCCAAAGAGTTTGAGCCTCTTTGACTTTCACAAGGTCATATAGCGAGTAAGAATCAGAATTAAAATTTTGAACTCAGATGACAGAGACCATCTTCTTTTGAACAATAAATTTTTATTGATATGTTTCATTTTTACATTACCTACATCAGAGATGTCAAATGCACAACTCACAACACTCCAGAGTGTAGTCTGATTAAATTAAAATTAAACATTTAAATTAAAACATAATTGGAAAATAAACAAATGGGTGAAGTGCAACAAAATATAGTTACATAACATTTAAAAAAAAACTAAGTCATTATGCAATCTGCAGGATTCCTCATGTATGCTTTAGTGACCCTCATTTCTATTTGGATTTGACACCACTGACCTAGATTTCTCTCTGTATGCCTCCCCCTTCCAAGACATTTTATAACACTTTTTTTAAAGTAAAGAAAAAGCAGTAGTGGGAAAAGATCAGCAAAAAGCAATCAATATACTGAAAAAATTATATATTATGTGCACTGTTCCATACAATTGGACACCCACATCCACACACACACACACACACACACACACACACACACACACACACGCACACATGCACACACCCTCTGTAAGGGACAGAGAGACTCCATTTGATCTTTAGCTTAATTATTTTAAAAGTTCTGGGTATGCTTTGTGCCTTCTATCCCCCCCCCATTATTTCTTTCTAGTTCAGAAATGACTGGCAAAGTCAGAACTGTGCCAACCAAATATTTACAGAGTTCCAACTCAAGTCTTTGCTGCCAGAGTTTTGCCATCACAGCCTCTAAAATACTTGTAATGCTCTATGGGGACTAGCACAGGAACTTGGGTCCAAAACCTCTCCAGCTTGTTACATATGTAAGTAGGGGTCACTTGCATCTGTCTGGACCTAAAATGAACCCTTTCCTTGCCTCCCTCCTCCCCTACCTCATTTGGAATTAACTCTGAAAGTCTGCAGGGGTTGATGCTCTTCCTCCTTCTCTCTCTCCCTCCCATTCCCTCCTCAGTATTTTCCATTTCACCATATTTTATTCCCTCTTGTTATGAGGCCCTCCTTCATTCCCACTCTGGCACAAGCACACCCAGTAGCTAGATTTACCAGCTTCAAAGGAATTGATTGAAGCTCTTGCAGTCCAAGGGAATAATTATTGATTGCAGACAGCTGTGTAAATGCTACAACTGCCACACCACTGTCTACCTTCCCCTGGGATTCTCAACCTTTGCTTCTTTTGCACTTGTTTTCCCAGGGAAAGGAGGTGGGGGAGCTTGCCCAGTAGGGTACTGGAGAGAAAACTGGTGCCTTCTCCATCTGCAATGCATCTCAATGTCTAAACACTCATTCTTGCTGATAGTGCCCCCCATTCAGTGCATCAGCTGGGCTTCTATTTTATGACCTCATGTGCCTGCCTTCACAGCGCTTTCCCTTCTGTTGCTACTCACCTTGATTTTTCCTTTTGCTCTCTATTTGAACCCCCTTCTTCTCATCCTGCTTTGTAGGCACTGAGCCTCCAGCATTCTGTGGGCTGCGGCTTTTTTCCTTGTCAGATGTTATGGTTCCTCCCCTTCTCAGTATGAGGCTTCCCCAGCCCAGAAAACCCTCTTTCCTTCTCCATAATCTGCTCCTTATTTGTTCCTTCTCTTGATTTTTTGTCCCTAGAAGTCTGTTTATCACATGATAGCTGAAGGCTGCTCTAAAAAAAAAAAAAACAACAGGCCTCTTCCCTTGCCCCTTTGTTCAGCTCCTCTGCACTGATATGCTCAGGTCACTTCCTGAGCCCCAGGGTGTTGAACTACTTTGCAATACCCCTCACCAATCCTCAGCTTTACTATGGATTCCAGCAATCATCTTATCCTCTTGAATTTAGGTCCTTGGTGTTACAGGAATTAGGAAGGACATTTTGGCTTTACCCCTCTGAACCTGGTTTGACGAAGATGCTTTGCCCAAATCCTAGATCAAGATTGGAGCAGTCCTGCCAGCACCCACAAACTAAGTTCCTTGGATGTTCCTCTGACTGAAGACATTTTTCCAAGCTGGACCGATAAGGGCATACTGCACTCTACCTAAGACCACCAGCCAACTCCTAGTGATAGCTTTCCCTGCTGCCAGACTCTGGGGCCTTATCTTCTCTACAGAGTTTGGCCCCCATGGTCCTAGTCTAACACAAGCTCACCCAAGGTCCCCACTATGCTAGATCACTAGCATAAAATGAACCTACTGATGCACTTTAAATACTCTGAAGGGGTTGGTAGGGGGAAACTAATAGGTTTGATCAGTTGTACAAAAGCTCTATCTTCCATGTACTTCGGTTAGCCTCCCCCCACCAGAATTCCTAAATTCTACATCATGTCTCCTGATGCTAAGTCCAACATACTTTCTACTAAGTCGTGCTTCCTCTTGCTTCATTGCAAGGCCTCCTAACCAAGGTTTTCTGGTTTAAATGGCTTTTACTGATTTAGCAAAATGGTCAGAGAATTTCATCCCCACCATTCATGCTCTTGTTCACAGTTGCCTTCTGGAGTGATGAATAATCCCAGAACCTGCCAGATTGGAGTGGATGTGGGTGCGGGGCTGATTTCTGAAAGCATTCAGCAGGAAACACTTGAGATGTGCAGCCTCTCCACCCCTCCAACCAATGACCTCCCTCTGCCTTCGAAAGTAATGAGCCCAGAGAGGATCCTAGCCTTGCATTGGGAGCTAAGCCACAGCCGCTACACTAATTATCAGGTCAATAAATCACCTTTGGTGTTAAGAATTTAATGGAATCATTCTTCTAGCCTGCATAAATACTTGAAGCCCTGTTCTTAGAACCTTTACAGATAATGCATTAAAAAATGAAAAGTGATTAAAGATCATATTTGATGACAAGTGCTTTTATCTTTGGTTTTAGCAATGGCAGTTAGAGAAGGCTGGGGATTGTTTCAACCTTGCCCCATCCTCCCAGGAAACTGGGCTTTGGGAAATTTCCAGGCACCTACAGGAATATTTAATTGAACAAAACCTACTAAAGGTATAACTTTCGGCCTACTCTTCTTTGCCTTATAAGTATTCCGGCTAATTCTACTCTCAGAGGCACTCACTGTTAATTTCCTAATGTTTGGAATGCTGTGGAAGGCAGAACCGATCAATAGCGAGCAGCTGTGCCTACGACTTCCCTGCTGCAATACTTAGCCATTGCCTTCTAAAGCTCAAAGAATCATACATAAAATGTTAGTGCTGGCAAGGACCTTGGACAGCATTTAGTTCAGCATTTACAACCCTTGCTATTTTACAAGGAAGGAAATTAAAGTCTGCTGAAGTCAGTATAGTGGAAAGATCATTGGACTTAGAGGCAGAAAGCCTGGGTTTCAGCTCTGCATTAGCCACTTATAAACTGTATAACCTCCCTCTTGGAGCCTCAGGGAAAGCTAAATTCCTTCTCCTTTCAGCCTCAGTTTCCTCATTTGTAAAATACAGTTGATACTGGCCCTACCTACCTCATGGGGTTGTTGAATCAACTGAGATACCAGTTGAAGGTTCTCAGTGAAAATAAAGCTGCAGTTACATGCGTGTAAGCAATTGTTAATATTATAATGAATAACAATTTTTTATTATATTTTATTTGATTATTCATTTATTATAAATTATTACAAAATTATAATTTAATATTATTATTAATAGTAAAATTTATTATTATCAGTAAAATGTAGGCTTCTTGAGAACAGGGACTTTTGTCCTTGTTTTGCTGTCCCCTGCACCCCCAATACAGTGCCTGGCAAGTACCTAATAAATGTTTGTTGGGTTTAATTGAATAGAATTGTCATCATTATTATTATCTAAGGACACAAGTTAGTGGCATACCTAGGACTCATTCTTAACTTTTTATGTTACAAAGAAAGGAGGAAATATAAGCTGAAACAGAGATCTGGGTAGCCTAGTCTCTAAATAGGCTGCCGAGATTTGCCTAAGACACTTGGTGATGGCTCAGGAACAAACTGCTGAGCCAGCAAAGTCCATTGAAAGGATTTTTTTAAATCTCCATAGAGAGCATTTTCAAGGAGCACTCACACATTTCCGATCTCATGAGTGCTTTTAATTTTCACACTCAATATTTAACTTTACAAGCATTCTGTGGGGGTGGCAAAGGAGCTACCCTGAGAATATATTTTAAATTAAACCATAGCTCTTTGAGCGGATCAACCAATTGATCCAGCAATAGCAATAAATCACACATTAGAAGATCAGATATTCAAAGAATGTTGGACTTGGTGAATAGTGTTGTCTAGATCTGTAATTACAGTCTGGATTGTAGTACAAAGACCATAAAATTGTTCTTTGTTGTGATTTCATCATAGTTGTTTCTGGATGATAACACCATTCCTTTATCCTCTTTCTCCTTTAGACTCTGGCTACCCTTTCTGAGTCAGCCCTCAGTGGTTCCAGCACACAGCCCTGTCTGGTGGAGCCATGCCAGCCCACAGAGCCCTGTTTCCCAGAGTCTTCCGCTGGTAGCTCTTTCGAGGAACACCAACAGCGAGAGCAAGGATGCAAATGGAGTGACCCATCATGTAGTCAGACAGAAAATCAGCATTCAGAAACTGAGCACTGGGGCAGCAGTCCCAGAAATACCATTATGAATAACACATGGACCTCTGGAGACCAGCCAGATGGCTCAACCTCCACGACTACAGCAGAAAGCCATTTGTCAAATGGGTTGTCAGCAAGTAATAAAGGTCTAAGTCCTTTGGGGAAAGACTCAGACGTGCTGCAGAGAGCAAGATCCCTGGCTATAAAGCGAGGTAACATGCTTTCCTGATTTCATTGATGATTTGCTGAAGGAAAGAAAGACCTTCGGTTTTCTCCTAGTCACACCACACTGAAGCATCCAGCATAGGTGGGGTAGGGTGGTGGATGTTGGCTAATGTAAATTTCTTTGTGAGGATAATGGTAACACTTGTCAGGGGAAATCTATTGTACTTTGTGATTCACAAAGCATTTTCCTTACTATACCCCAGTGAAGAAGAAAGGATGAGGATTATGATCACCATTCTATAGATAAGGAAACTGAGGCTCAGAGGCATGAACTGACTTGCCTAAGGCCATATACTAGTAGCAGAGTTGGGATTAGTTGCAAAGTCATAGCATTTAAAGCCAAAAGAGATCTTTGTAAGTGCCTAGTCCAAAGGTCTTGTTTGAGAAAGGAAAGTTACATTAGGAGTGCGACTGGCAGTGAAGCCATGATTCAAATTCACATCCTCTCATTCCAAATCCTATGATCTGGTGCTCCTTTCCTCCTATTACACTATGGAGCCTCAGACAGCAAACCAGAATTCTTTCCACTATACTACATCTTCACTATTAATTTGTTCATTCATCTAACATTTACTGAGGGCTTCCTCCACCTTGAAAACTCCCCTCTCCCAACACATGCACACTTAACATAAAGGATCTACCACTTCCCAAATTTCTCATCTTTCTTTCTTTTTATGATTGTCCAGCTCTCCTTTGTTCTTAGGATATTCTGTCTTGTTTCAAACATTTGGGTCTATATGCCATGACCCAGAGTAGCTCAGTGATTGACTAGGATCTCAATCAGGATTTTAACTTACTCTTTTTATTCAAGATACTTCAATATTCTCCATCAATATTTCTGCTAAAAAAAAAAAAGCTGAAGCCAGAATGTGGTCATGATGCTCATAATTCTCACAACTAGTAATTCAGTGGGTTGTCAAGGGAGTTTTGTAACCTTTTGAAATTTTTTCATCCCCCATGACTTATATAGCATGTCAGGACAAGAATCTAAGATCTTGAAAGCTTTGTAAAAATATCTCTTTGAAAAGGTATTTCTTTCAAAGTTGTTTAGAGGGCTGACTGACCCTGGGATAGGATCCGACTGACTAGGGATAAATTCCATGGGTGTGTGATAAGTGCCCTTATTTGCTTGATAAATCTACATAGGTTTGATTCCCACAAAACAAATGCTTTTCCTCTAATTGACATGTAGCAGTCAATCCTTCAAAAGCTGCCTTGCTTCCCAATATGATGTTGGGCAGCATCCCCCTGGTAACACCTCTATGACATCTCTCCACAGCTGCTGCTGTATAAAATGCCCCTTTGGGGGAAGGGGTGGAGGTCTGTATACCCTCCTGTTACTTAGGCAGCTATCAGAAACCAGCATATTAATGCTGGGAAGAAAACACCAAACCCTCTGATTTGGAAATGACAAGCACTTAGTAGCCCATAAAGCATGTCAGAGATGGAACATGTCTCTTGGGAGGTTGGGGGTAGAAAAGGGCACTGTCATCTACTTTCAGAGGCAGCTGTTCTATGGCAATAATAATTTGATTTGATTAACATTAAGCTTCCATTATATATAAGGCACTGTGTTAGATGCTGAAAAACCAAGGTAAAAATGAAAAAAAAAAGTCTCTGCCTTCAAGAAGCTTATATTCTACTGGATTTAATAGCTTACATTCCTCTGGCCTTTAAAGTTTGCAAAGGGTCTTCTCTGTAACAACCTTTTCAGGAAGATACTGCAGGCCACATTACCCATTTTACAGATGAGGGTTTGGTTTTTATTTTTTTGCATTTTACAAATCAGAGGATTACTTGCCCATAGAGTCAATATCAGCTCCAGAATTTGAACTCCCTGTCCCTGTTCAGTAAGTCTAAACCTCTTTCTTCTCTACCACACAAAATGTGGAGTTGGAAGGCATAAGTTCTGACCTTATTGGAACTTACTAGCTGTATCTGCTTGGGCAAGCCATTTCTCATCTATAAAATAGACAGCTAAGTGGTGGAGCAGATGATGTACTGAACCTAGAGTCAGGAAGACCTGAGTTCAAGTCTGGCCTCAGATACTTACTATGTATGTGATTTTGGATAAGCCACCTAATTTATATCTGCCCTAGTTTCCTCATCTATAAGACAAGAATTGAGAATGTGAGAGTAGCAAAGTGCCCTTGAGATGATCTTGTCTGATACCTTTATTAAATAGAAGAGGAAACTGAGGCCAAGATAGTCAAAGTAACTTTTCCCAAGGCACAGAGATTGTCTTCTGATTGATTCTGTCTTCACCACATCAGCTCAGGATAACACACAGACACAGACACACACACAGACACAGACACACACACACACACACACACACAACACACATTTGCTCATTAGTGCCTGCTAGTATTATGCTGTGCTCTATGGCCTCAGCTGATTTAGGCTACGGACCCCTCAGTGTTCATACCATGTGCCCAGCCCAAAGTAATCACTGATGGAAAGACAGTCATCATTACATATGCCCCCATACTACCTGTCACTGCCCAGGTAGAAATCACTGAGACTGCCATATATTTGGTGGAGCTGTGTTTTATCACATAAATTTAGAGTGAGAACAGGAACTCTAGAGCATTGAGTCTAAAGGCACTTAAAGGCCTGCATTCTAGTTCACATTTACTAACTGAATGGTGTGACAAGTCACTTTATATTTTACTTTCTTCATCCATAAAATAGAGTTTCTACTAACCTCACAGGTGGTGAGCAGAAAATGAAACAGCTGATATGCTAGGATCTAGAGTTGAAAAGGGATTTATTAAACTCTATGGATAGTGGAATGATAGGTAGATTATGTGAGTTTGCAAGGGGTATTGTTTAAAAAGCCCTGAAGATAAAGAGAACCTGGGGGCGATGGTCATACAATAGTTTATTAATAAATGTTGGATAAAGGTAAGAGTAAATCTTGTACAACTCATTCATTTTATAGTCCCAAAATCATAAGGTCCAAAGAAGGTGAAAGAATTTGATATATGTAAAAGATCTCTGAAAATTTTAAAATGTCAGACAAATGTACCTCTTCTAATGTCTTCCTCTAGGGGCTCATCCTTATGTGGAGGAGACCCTAGGTTTTCAAAAGCTAGGCCTGCAGAGTATCAGCTCTGGGTTGTGTTACCCACTTGGAAATGCTTTGACCATGAGCCTGGTGACTGCTTATATATCTGTTACCTAAATACCTGCCTTGACTATGTTCATGGTGGCTTCTTACAAGCAGACTGGCCAATGGAAAGAGCATTGATGCTGGAGTTAGAAGAATTGATACTACTTGTGTGATTATGGACAAATCATTGAAACTTCATGGGCCTCAGTTTCCTCATTTGAAATATTTAAGGAATAGGAGTAGGTGGTTCTGGGTGTCCCTTTTTTAGATAACTCATCTTATGATCCTCATGGGTACCAGGTGAGGAATGGTAATTTGACCACAATGACACATGAAATCATCTATCATAAGGCATGGAGAGCCTGTGAGTAGTAATAGAAAAGAGAAGAGCTTCATGGATGAAATCACAGGATTTCTGAAATATTGGCGTCCAGATCCTCCTATAGAATTTAAGTTTCTTAAAGTAAAGGACTATTTCATTCATGTCTTTGCATCCCTAGCCAAGAAAATGCCTGAAACATAGTAATTGCTTAATAAATGCCTGTTGATTTATTAATTTTATCAGTTGAAGCACGTGTTAAAAGCCTTGTTATTCTTAGCTGAAGTTATCACTAGGAGAATAGACTTCTCAGCTAGGTCCCCACGGCTTGCCCATCCTTTGTCTCTCTTCTCCTACACAATGAACTTTCAGGTGGTACCTTTGCAATTGGAAGCTGATGTCTCTGTGTTGATCATGCTGCTCTTTGGTTATTGCATGAAGTTAAGGGACTTGTTCAGATGTTCCTACACACCACCATGAGTTTTGGTTGGCTTCTATATAAAAGCATTGTGGTTAGTTGGGGAATAGGTCAACCTTGTTACCCCACATGTGTATTATAGAAGAACCTGTGAAGAGACAGGTGTCCTGGGGATGCTGAGCCTGCAGCAAATGCTTGATAAGTATCGGAGTAAGAATGAGTCAATAAGAAGCTCTTACTCTTTCCATGGTTCTTTCTATTATAGCACATTACTTTTCCATTACCACCATTAGATCATGCAAATGGAAATGTTTATTTTGTGTTGTGTGATGGCTATTTTCTTTTTTGAATTAAGTTTACCTTTTTCTAGCTTCAAGGGTTGTTGTCTTCTTATGGTTTCTGGAATTTTATTCTCATTTTTCATGATTTTATATACATTGAATTTATAATCTCTCAAACTTTTTTTCCTAGATAAAAGAATCCTCATTTTTGGGTAGAAGAGGAAGATTTAACTATTGGATGCCAATATTTGCCTTCCAACCTATCTCTATTATCCCTTGGGTTGTGCCCTATGATTCAGAGTTAGTTGAGAGGATGTAAGTGCATCTAGCTCATTAAAAAAGTACATAGAAATATGGACCTCCAATTGAAGCCATATGATAAGATAACTGTCAATAGGTATATAACCTATATACAACCCCACACTTATATGCATGTATATGTGTCTTTGTCGTTGTTGTTGTTTGCCCTTACTACTCAAAGATGACCATGACATCAGGAAGTGGATGTCATGATTTGCAAGTGAATTGGATTTAAGTGAGTCAGGGCTGTGTAAATTCTCCAGCTTCACTTTCTCTTCTGTACCCTCTGGGTCCAGTGGCAAGGTATAGGTCAGGATGAGTAGAGATGGCCCTGGATGCAGGGGGCCTTTTTAAGCTATGGTCTTTTTTGGGTCTCAGTCGAGAACACAGGTATGCCAGCAATGGTTACCTGGGATTCAGTGACTGGGAAGGGCTGAGTATTTGTTGTTTTCTCAGTCAAAGGGCCAAGTTTCTCCTTAACATCTGAATTTCTTCTTAAGATACTTAAGAAATCATAGGTCTGAAAAATAAGAATTACAAACAGAAGAAAAATG